AAGCTTTCTTTCAACCACGCCCCATGAAGGAATCTCATGACTAACTGTATAAGGCGTGGTTTGTCACCATGGTGTCGTTCATGGAGGTCAAATCTGTCGTTGGAGCCATCTCCCCATGGGAATTGTGTTGCACCGTCCTTACGGGGCCCAGACAGAAGACGTCGTCGGTCGCCCCGTTGGGTCGCCACGCGAGGCAATACTTCCCAGGAGAGAAGTGCCTCGCCCCGCAGCGAGGGGCGGAGCGACCTGGTTTTCAGGGATGCCAACTATGACCACTCCGCAGACAACCTAGTTGGAAAGGAAACAAAAGTAGCATTTGATGGGTGATTTTCTGTCTATGTGACATGGTGGTTTGCCTTTGTCAGAAGGTTCTGGTGTTCAACCGTGATCGACTTCGATCCCCAATAATCTGTTTGCCACAAGCGTGCAGTAGCTTAAGCTTCGCCTCTGCGACACTGCTTGTAGAGATTGCGAAGAACCTTAAAAAGCATAGTTTCACCAGGTTCGAGGTAGTGACGGGTGCTTTATTCCCTTGGCACTTGGCCTTGCGGCCATTCCCTCCACCAGAAGGATGCAGGGCCTCAATGACCAGATGAACCGGTGCCAGCGCTTTGTAGCGATCGCCACACGTGGCGCAGGTTCAAGCAGTGGGCCGAGCCTTTGGGCGCGGACGGCGGCTGGCGCAGGCCGGGGAGCATGGACCGACGCGTCCAGTCACAGAAGGTCCGAGAACTGCACAGAGAAACAGCAGAATGACTCGGTGGGTGGGTGGAAGGAAGGAAGGAAGGAAGCCTCTCCGGATCAACAGACATTTGGTTCTTCTTGTGTGAAGGGAGTCTTGGGGTTGACGTGAAGATGAGGTGTGAAAGGCCGGTGATTGCAGACAGCCGGACAGCAAGTCGCTCTGTAGAAGCAATTGCCGGAAGCACATAGGGGCCGGAGGCGTTGCTTCAGTGAGGTGGCTGGTGAAGTAGTGGTCTATTGCTCTTACTGCAAGTGAGTCTGGAACGACATGAAGAAAGAACTTATGGTGTTCGGTTGAGTCTGCTACGGCCTCTCATTGTGGGAGCAGCATTTCAGGTACGACAAGTGGGAGCCGGCGATGAAGTTCGTCCAGGAGATCATGACCAAGATGGCTCCCATCGATGTGCACCTCGATACTGCACATGCCTGGTGGGTAGGGAACAGCCTGGTTTTGGAACGCGGCACCGGGTGGGGACCAAGGGATCCGGAACGATCTGAAAAGGATTTTCGGATTCTCCAAAGTCTTTTCCCTCAAAAAATGGGTTGGGCATTGGTGCTGGGTTTCTCACAGGGCGGCACGATCCTGTGAGGCCCAATCCTTCTCGTGAGGCGCACGAGGAGAGCCATCGTTGTTCGGTCTCGTGAGCGATGCGTCGGACGGACCGGGCCACTACCTATACCCCACCCAAGGCCGGAGCGGGTGTGGACCGTTGAACACACCATAATTCTGAAGGAATCACCAATACTAAGGGGTGGTTAATAGACACCCATTGAACCTCTAAGGAGCTGTTGTTGGACACCCCTTAGGGGGCCTGGTAGATGAGACTTACAATCCATGAAACCAAGCGGGAGGATCATCGAGACAGGCGATTCTCTCCCCAAGGGGTCCAAGGGTATCAAATCCCCAAAAAGATGTGGTTCACTTGGAAAAACACCAAGTCTTTTGAGGGCTTTCACACAGTCAAGCAGCCCGACGTTCTTTGGAGGCAGCAGTTGAGTTTGAAGAATCCGCCATGTTCGGCGCCCTCCACAGTTTTCTGTGGCGAACTGAGGCTGTTGGGCTTCAGCCAGGGGAGTAACCTCAGCCACCCGCTGGCAGCTTGCGCGGGCCTAGGCGCGAGTATTCAGAGAGCGTCGAACGCCGAAGTGGAGATGCATCGTGCTACATGAGCATTCCATAGTGAATGGGACAATGGCCTTGGATCTTCGGATGACCCTGCAATCCGAAGATCCAACCGCTGGCGCCATCCACGAAACCATGATGATTCCATCCATGAAACACTGCAAAGCCACGTTAGTGCTAGCGGTTTTCTTGGAGGACCAAGTGGTCCAAGCTGATAAAACCCAGAAAGAACAAGAATCTCCATCCTCAAAAACAGTTTTAGGAGTAGAAGCAAAAGGACAGCTTCCCCCCCCCATGATCAGAATGTTGTCACATTCTTTTCCCCATCTTTCTGGAGTCTTCCGCTCTTCTCCACTTGCCCCGCATGCCAAGCACTTCGGCTTCCGTGCTTGGCACCTTGGTCTGTCTGCGCGGCGCGAGGCCAAGGCCCTGCAGTGAACTGCGTGGTGCATTTCTGCACGACGAAGCCTGGATGGGTGGCACAGACGCCCGAGCTCTTCGAGTGGCAGAGCCTTGGGCGGTGAGAGCTGGGCGAACAGAGCAACCGACTACCAAGGGCGCGTGGAGTTTTCAGAGTATAAGATGTTGTTTCCTTGCCCAGCATAAGAATTAGAGTTCACCCAGCATATGAAGGATCCTGGTGTCGATATTCATGTTCCTAACTGCAATTCTTGCAGGAAGATGGTATGAGCTGATGTTCATGCATTCACTTAGAACGGAGCGTCGATCGGACGGAGATTCATCGAACATCCGATGTAAGAATCCTCCAGATCGAGCACTGGAGAAAGCCAAGAAAGCAAACCTTGCGGAGGACGATCCCCAGCTGTAGTCTTAGGTAGATAGACATTTGCTTCGAGTTTTGGGCAGATACCCACCAGCCACAGCGAAAGCATGTCTCTCCCCCCCTTTTGTCCGGTGTTTTTCTTCACGCCAAACTCATTTCACACATCTGCAGGAGTGGAACCTACCCAGAAACTCAACTGCCCATCCCATAACCCAAAATGCCACGGCTCCCCATGTCGTTTTCGGATCCACGTCCACCGGCGTCCTCCATCTCGGACGATGCCGAGGATCCCGGTTCCTGCGCTGATCATCGAGGGGAAGAGCGATGAGACGGCGCAGGGCGCCAAGGACGTGGCGAAGACCTATGCGGACCCCGACGCTCGGTCGGCAGCTGTGGCTGGCGGGTGGGAGGTGCCTGGTGGTGCCCGGTGGAGTGGGGGTTCCATGTCAGGTGGAGTGAAACGGGATCCCTGAAACGAAGAAGAAATGACCTCCAAAACGATGGACCAGCCAAAAGTGAAATGAATTAAGCCGGAAGGGAAGGCCACATGAACACCTTTCCTACAAGTCACCAGGAGAGTTTTTGGGTTGGATGCTTCTTCTTAGGTGGAAGGGACTGAAGTTGAGGGAAAAATGGACCAGGAATGGAGGCAGCAGCAGGGTGGTTGCCCATACCAGTGCCACTGACTGTAGCCGAGTGTACCCACAACACATTTGTGTTTGGCTTCAAATCGCAGCATTTACATGTTTTGGTTGCAGATTCTCCACCTCACCCCCGGAGGCTTCACGTTTCCAGACAGTGCAGGGGGGAAAAGAACTCTCAGAAAAGAACTCTCAAGAAAATCAACTCCGACAACGCTTTGGCCCCAAGAACTCCGACCGCTTCCGGGCTTCTCAGCATCAGGTGGTGCTGCACCACTCCGACGGCCGGGGAGCCAAGGTGGTGACAGCGCACCGAGCCACCGGCCGAAGGTGTCACGGGAGCAGCTGGGTTCATTGGTGGTTTGGCCGTCTATACTATGCCAAAGTGTATGTTCACAGATATATGCTCAAACATTCAGAGCTAGGAACAGCTGGACGTGTTTTTGCGACTCATCGCGATGGCGATCGGGTGCAACGTGACAGCATGTCGAAGGGACCACCCGACTTGCTCTGAGGCCATCGACCCTTTCCCAAGGATGTCAACGAGGCCAAGGACTTGGCGCAGAAGATCCGCGATTTTGTGCCTCGAACATCGGCGCTGGCGCAGGGATGGAAGGATTGGCGAAACGAATGTGGTGGGGGGAAGAAGGATCGATAGATGAAGCGCCAGAAGGGATTTGACTTCCGTTTTGAGGGATTCTGGAGGGTGTCGTGTATATGTTCCATTGTCCACGTCCATCTTCCTTGAAGTGGTGGATGGCTCCTTGAAACTCTGACCTTCAATCCTCCCCCAAGATAGCTCACCTGTTGCTCTCTGCAAGCGAGTGAGATCATGGTGCATGTCCTGCGTGCCCAAACAAGAAGCGATAATTTTCCAGTTCCCGGATGGAACGATCAATTAAAGATGGGCATTGACATGTGAAAAAAATCACCAAATCTGCACTTAGAGCTGGTAAGACCAAAATACATACATGCGAAGGAAGAACATTCTGTTTGCACAACCTTCATTCATGCCTTCCATTCGATCCCCTGAAATCTGCCACCCATTCTGCACAGCGAGAGGGATCCGCCTTTTTGTCCAAGGTTCTTTTGCACTGCCGTGGGTCCAGCCTGTGAGCCATCAGAAAAGAGTGCGGCTGCATCAGGTTGAAGAGGAACGGATTTTGACCTATATGGACAAATAGGTTTAGAAGGCATGAGAAAAAGTCTGAAGATAGAGAGAGAGAGAGAGAGACAGCGCGAGAAGGAGAAGGAGAAGCAGAAGAAGGAGAGGGAAAGAGAGATAAATTTAAAAACAGAAAGAACTTCGACATAGTTTCACTTGCAGTCAGATCACGGTAAATGGAGCTCGGCGCGTTGGTATCCCTTGGATCTCATATGCAAAAGCCTAGATCTCACAGAGTCACAATGATTCAAAGTATGTAGATTCTTCCTCAGCTCTTAGGTCATTCTACAACAGTTTAACCTGCTGGCCACCGTTTTGCAAGATAGCTTCCCCTTTAAACATGAAGCTTTCGAGAAAAGCTTCACCTTCGTTGTATGGATTCCATCTCCTGGGATTCTTCCAAAACCAGGTGTACAGGTGAAACGATTCCCAGGGAAGCTTCTCGCTATGAGTAGCTTCTTGTTCCTAGTAGCGATGGCCTCCAATGTTTTCCAATGCTCCACACCCCATGTCAACGGGCCTTTCGCGCCTGAAACGCCGGAGGTGCCGAGGCGAGCACGCGCGCGAGCGGGCCACTGCCCTGGTTGCCTGGGATGCCGGTGAGGAACCTAGGGCTTCTGGGCCTGGAGTTTGGAAGAAAACGTGGGCTCCAATGGCTTGGTGCTTCACCAGCATTTTTTGCAGCTGGGAACCATGGAAATTGCACTTTCTTATGTTTTTGATGCAGGGAATTGGGTAGCCCAGCTCGTGCAGTCACTCACCAGTGGGTCATACTTGGGCTTTATTTGCAGAGACTGCCAGAGGAACCTTTGCTTGAATCGGCTTGGCCTTTGTATTAATGGATCGACTGGGGTCTGATTCACCTTTGTATGGATTTGTGGAATGTTGGACATTCATAGGGGATGTTGTTTGTTTCATTTAATTGGGGATCGCTGTATTGCCACATGTTTGCTTTTTGCCATTGTGGTTTCTTGAGAAAGCTGCTCCCTCCAAATTCGGCAGCTGGTCATGGGCTCAAAAAGGAAATGCCCAAGGTGGCATACTGGTGGATGAACATTTGGGTAGATAAACATCCCAGGTTGACCTTTCTGTTCATGTCCTTGACGTTTCACCTTGTCACTGGTTATGACGCCACATGTGAGGTCGACTTCGATTTGGCTGTCGAGGAGGCGTCGCGGATTTGCTGCGATTTACATCTTAAATAAGATAACAATCCCTTAGTTTCTGTCCGAGTTAGAAGGAATCCAAAGGCACACTTGTTTGTGTCCAATATCTTTGGCTAGCTGAGTTACCAAGTCTAGCTAGTGCGACCAGGGTAGGGCTATGGGATATTCAGGGTGACCAGCCCCCAGGGTCAGCATTTTGTTCAAGATGTCCGACTGAACGGCTTCCTCCAGACATGGATCAAACACCATGTCTTTGTGGCTGGTCGAAGCACTCAATCAAAATGTAGGGAGAAGAGTATTTTCATGGCCCCTAGTAGCGTCCTTGCTCCTAGTCGTAAGGCCAGGAGCCCCTAGTAGCTTCTTGTTCCTAGTTTGGCGGATTCTTAGAGGAGTGGACTGGACCTCATCCACCCCTGCTCCGCCGGTGAGATGTGAATCCTTTGCGTTCGATTCGCCGCTGCAGCGCAGGAGCCAACGGCGGAGGAGAAGTCCCGTCACGCCGCTTCCGCGGTGTTGGGTGCCGCAGGAAAGCTGTGCGAACTGAGCAGAGCATCGTTCTCAAGGAGAGGTGGAATATGATGCAGTCTAAAAAAACAAATGGAAGATGCTTATGATTTTTGTGATATCACCGGTAGTGAGGAGATACTACTCCAGTAGATTAGGACCTCTGGGACCCCTCATCCAAGTGGTAATGAATTCTGAAGAACAAAACAACCCTAGAACATGAACAAAACACTGGTGTTGTTGTGCCAAAAAACCATTGACCCAAGTTTTTGCTGAAGGGGAAAGACCAAAAAACCCTTTGGATATGGTCCTCTGAACAAGTCCCGATCGGTTCACCTATAGAATCTGAAGTCCCGGGTGAGTTCGTAGGTGGCGCAATACGTCCAAGGTGAGCTGAATCAGATGGGGCAACACGACGCTTCTTTCAACCATCTCCACGCGAACCCCTTTTTTCCCATCCTAAAAGGTCATGGGAAGAGGGGGAAGCTGCACGAACTCTTGCTCGGATGGAAACAACACTGAGCCAGGTGGAAAACGGATGGAAACAAAGGAAAACGGATGAGCATCCGAGCAAGCGGATGGCTAAACGAACTCAATGAGACAAACAGCTTGTTCACAGCTTCGGTGGTCTCCAAGGCGCCACCACTTGGACCTCAACGCCTTGTGCCACCTGGGCAGTGCCCTTGGGTCCCGCGACCCAGGTATTTGCCGCCAAAGGGCGTCGCAAGACATAAGGGGAGCACCGCAGCGAAACGACAAGCGTTTCGCCTTTTGGAAGATGATAGATGATATTCTTTGTTTTGCTCCGTGGGGGATATCTATCTAAGTTTGTTTGGAGGGTGTGAAAGGAAGTTGTTGTTCATGGAACTTGTGAAAGTGGTTCATGTTCAATGTGTTTTCTTGGATGAGTTTGTGGTGAAAGGAGTGTTCGGTTTGAGGCCGCTGCTTGCATGATCAACAACCTACCCCTTCAAACGTCTGCGAAGCATGTCAAAAGACGATGCCCAACTGACCGCACATCATGCTGATCGCACCTCAACTTGGATCGCTTCGGTTTACTCTCAGTGGCCAGGAACGGACCAACAGGTGTGTTGGGTGCCCAATCCAAGCCGTTGCGGCATCCGTCGGAGCACTCGCCATGCGCCATCTGAGGCCCTCGGCACGTTGCGCTGAGAAGGCCGCAGTCCCTCTGAAGGTGCCAGCACTGGCAGTGTGTTGGTTTTCAGGGCGCAAGAGCCACCACGAGAGCCACAAACAAAGCAAATGCATGGTTATGTGATGTTATGTGGCTATGTATGTTGGTTTGATTCAATTAATTGAGAACAGTTCACTCCGATCTTTCATCGGCACCCGTTTTCTTCGCCACACCGCCCTCATCCGTCAGGCTGATACGGGGCACCATCTGGTGGGCTGCTTCTGTGGCCTCGTCCTTGGAGCCCACGGCATGGGAGGCACCGCATGGCACCGGCCGGTCCTGCCGTTCACCCTCCGAGGGGTTCGGACGTGCTCCCGAAAAAAGAGGCCCGAAGAACCCACCGGAACCCACAGCGGGGGGGGGATGACCCCATTCACAGAATTCACAGGCTTTTCTGACACTCTAACAACACTTCAAAGTTCCTCCATCCAAATCATCCTCATCCACTGCCAAAAATACTCCGGGCTCGGTGGAGTACCGGTCCCCAAACCTTCGCCCCGGTCAGGCGCCGACTTGGTGGCGCAGCATTTGGCTAAGGCTGGAACCGTGTCGCAGCATCTGGGGTCGTTGGATGAACCACTTTACAATGAAAGCGATGGAGAAAATGATCCTCAAACAGGTCCTAAATAGGTTTTTGCATATTTTTGCATTACAGTCAGGGTGAACTGTGGGGATGTATGGCGTTTGGGGCATCACCTTAATGACGGCCCTTGATGAGTTTGCATCGTTCGTTGACCCACCTACAAACTTGGAACGTTGGCCTTGGTCATGTTGGAGCAGTCCTTTTTGGCATGTACAAATGGAGGCCATATGGGGCTCCTAGGAGCAGCAAATGTCCATTCTGCCACTGCTACACCACTTCAAACTCTCTCAGACTGGACAGAAAGGTAAAGACCTCTCACACACGTCCCTTCAACACATGGATGTTCGATGATTTTGGTATGATTTTGGCTCTTCTACAAACATAGATCTTTTTATATGGATTTTGTACAAATCCTTTCGGTTACTCGCCATCTCCCGCCAATCACAGCCCTCCAGGACTTGGCTCAGAGCTTCACCGGCCGCGAGCAGGGCGGCACACGGGGAGCGAAGGCGTGATCACGCGCGGTGACCGACCATGGCCAGCCAACCGACCACGTTCCTTCACCACTACTAGTAACAGGTGCATCGCTAGTAGTAACAGGTGCCTTACTAGTAGTAACAAAAAAGCTATTAGAATTAAAGTTTAAATCAAAATAAGTAATAGCTTCTTGTTACTACTAGTAAGGCACTTGTTACTAGTAGCGATGCACTTGTTCCTAGTAGAGATTTTCGTGTCAATTCCTTCAAAAGATTCCCAAGCACTCCAGCCTTGCCCCCAACGAAGGCTGCGACCATGGCGGGCTTCCAGAGCACGCAGCAGCGGTTCATGCAATATGTCAGGAAAGCTCAGAGGTCTCTCGCGGATGCAGATCAAGACTCCAGACCCAAAACCTCTTTTGAAGATTCTAGGCGTTCTGCTGGAAGATGTTTGTAGACTCCATGCTTTGCTGATGCACTCGTGGCCGCATTTACGGTTGCCCAGGATACGCAGCCTTTACGACCAGTGTAAAAGACTTCCAGATCCACCAAGTAGTACAGGCTGCTTTTGGACTTTGCTGGATGATTGGTTGAAATCTATTGGAAAGTGGTTCCACAAAAAAAGAATCCCAAAGCCCCATGAACGGCCACCCCGCGACAGGATCCTTTTGGATCCCGTGGATCCTGTTTGGAGCGCCTTCGTTTGTGCCGAGGCGCAACGCTTGAGCGCCAACTCCGCACGCCTGTGGCTGGCCTCGGAATGCCAGGCCCGGTCGACCAGTCGAGCGGCCGTGGGTGAGGTGGACTCGGGCGTCCTGCAATGACAGAGGAGCACTGGCACAGAACGAGAGAAAATCGCTAGGAGGTGATAAGAATGATACCCAAATAGATTACAAAGGCACTTGAGGGCCGTGTAGCATCCTTATGACGCGGTTTGCAGGTGCTGGAGATGTTCGATTCTATGGTCGATTCTATATGGGACCACCTCCAGCGGAGGCTTTAGCCTTTAGCCCTAGTAGCGAACCACCTCCCAGGTAGGTCGTGCCCGCTCAGTCTCCTGGTGCCATGACTTACAGCCATATCAAGAATGGTGAGGTATGCTTGGTGAGAGAGAGAGAGAGGTTGCTCTGCTGGGCGGCAACACGTGGCTTGAAGGTCTGGCAAAGGCTGTTGGACTCAACCCCGAGCCGCGAGAAAGTGATGGTTCGCTTCCAGGTCGACATCGGTTGTTCTCGCGCCAGACCAGGGGCTTGTTGGATGTCAGCGGACTTCATCAAGCAGCGTTCCCATTGACTTGGTGTTTCCGGCCGTTACGAAGGAGTTCCTTCCGTTGACTAGCTTCAGAGTTGAATGTGCCCATCAAAAACCACGGGCTTGTAGATGAGAACGGACTTCCGCAACCTTGTCAGAAACTAATGTTAGTTTCCCCTACGCTGGTTCTTTTCAAGTGAACATCACTGACAAAATTGTCATAGGTGTCTCCTGACTGTCATCAGTTGTTTAAGAGATTGGGATCATCTCTTGCATTTTTCTAGGCCTGCTTCTGACTACAGCGAAGGAAAGAAAGAAAGGCCTGCTTCTACTAAAAGTGTTGATTTTCCTGAACCTTTTGGCCTCAAACGGGATGTTTGCCTCATGTCCGTTCGGCAGACGACGGGGGAAGTCTGCGAGGCCTACACGGCCTTGGTCTTCGGTCCGGATGGCCCCGAGTCACAGCCGCCTAGTCCGCACCGGGCACTGGTCAGTCACAAACAATTCGGTGACGCTTGGGAGGTGGTGGCTTTTGTCCAAACCGAAAACAAACCTGTGCCAATGGTATACATGGCAGTGCCACAACAGGGGCGGGGGGGTTGTGATAAAATTGCAGAGGTGACACACTGGAGAAAGACATTCGGATGAAGTTTAGTTTGGAGGCAGTAGCCAAAGCAGAACCACCGACTGCGCTTCTTTTTGGGATCAAAAAGGGCTCACGGACGTGTCCGAATCCTTTGACAAAACTGGACCCTCCCCCAGCCCACGTTTCACCCATCCACGCGACTGGAAAAACCGAAGGCGACGAGGAAGTCGCTGCCGATTCGAGGCCTTGCCTCGTGTTGGGCGACGTGGGCTTCGAGGGCCGCAGCATCGTCTTGCAGCAGGCACCGCTCAGTGCTAGGCAGTGGTCAGTGCCGCCCGAATCGGCGGTGGGTTGGGTTTTTCGATGGTTTTTCTCCACTGAAGTGTGTTTCTTCAAGCAGGGCGTGGAACATCTGAGAACCGCTCTTCGGACTTGGAATTCACTGATCTTGGCCAATGTTCTCGAATGCCTCAGAGGTTCCGTGCTCAAACACCCGAAATCATCGGTCAGAAGCTTCGCATCAAGCGCAGCACTACAGTCGATCGACCAAATCCCATATTGCTCATGCCTCGCCCAAAAATCCGTGGTTGCACTGCTGTGTTTTGGTCCATCAACGGATCTTTGCCTCAACCCATCCACGGTCTCAATGAAGACCGTCTCTCACCGGCTAGGATGGCATCGTCTCTCACCGCTTCGGGCAGGGCGGGAGGCTCAGGCGGCTTCGCCCCTTCGCGGCCAAACCCCGGAGCGGTGCGGTAGCAAGGTGTCGCACCGGTCGTAGGAGGCACCAGTCGGTGCGGCAGCATCTTGCGAACGCGAAACTTGTGCGTTCCCACGGCTGGCATGTGGGGATCAAACAAGCTACCTGCCCAGTCCAAGTCACTGCATTTCATTTGTGATTTTCCGTTTACTCTTAATATACGACAAGTTGAAAGATCCTACCTCTCATCCAAGGGGTCAATTGGTCCACATCTCAGGAATCCAAGGACATCGAAGGAGCATCAATTTACCTTTTTTAGCCCGCTCCCCCTACTTGACTAAAAATTAAATAGGCGCCTGCTTAATTAAGTGAGGGACTACTTGTAGTACGCTACTATAGCTACTGAACCTTCCAGTCTTTCTTCCTGGTTGTTGTTTCCTTTGCTTTCGGTGTCCTTCCACACCGCCGAGGCCTCGAGGCGAAGACGGAGGCCACGCGCGATGCGCTGAAGGCCTTCGAGCACGGCCTCAAAGGCGCGGGTGCGACGGCGGTCGTGTCGTCGCGGTCTTCGATCGGCCGAAGCTTGGGTCGGGCCCAAAAGACGGTCCAGAATCGTGCTGTGACCATTGCCCAGCCCGGTCTTCCTCCGCCGTCAGGACCCTCCATCCACTTTCCGCCGATTCCGGGAGCTCAACTGCCGCGGCCCAAAGCTGGTGGGTTCGAAGGAGCTGTGGATGGTTCACCCAGATGCACACTCTGCTTCAGGCCATTTGCAACCTGTGGAGTCCCATTCCTCCAAACGATTCCTTTTCAAAAATCTGCAAAGAGATGAAAAAACAGTTTGGAAAGCATGATGGAAAACAGATGTTCATAGATATTTCATAGCTCTTGGAAAACAGATGAAAAAAATTGCTGGCCCACTTCAGCAAACTGTTTTCTATCTCTCATCAAATATCAAATGACCATCAAATGGCTATGACCTTGTGTGTGGCCACCCGCAACCACTCTGAATGGCCACAGCAGTTTGCCGAATGGTGGGGTGAGTGGACAGGTCACTCCAACAGTCACTTCGCGTGATTGGGTGAAGGCACACTCAATTTGCCATTGCCAAACAACTGACTGCAAAACTACTTTGGCCCTGGCCGCCCTCGACATCTTTTCCAGGCAGCTGCACAAACTGTGTCCAAGTCTGGACTGGAGGGGTTGCAACCAGAAGAAGAAAGAGAAGAAAAGGAGAAGAGAGACAAGCAAGAGAAGAAAGAAGAGAGAGCAAAATAAGGAACAGGAAGAAAGACAAAAGAAGAAAGAGAAGAAAAGAACAACCCCTTAAGGACCCAAGAACACCGTGAAGTTGGTGAAGATCCCAGGGCGGAGCTTTTGATCAGGGTCCCTGGTGATCATTGGATTTCGGCCAGGGTTTGGGTAAGATAGTGATTTACAAAAGGTAACCAAAACCGCGGTCTGGTCATCGGTGCCTTGGCCGGAACAGCTCAATTGGTTCGTGTGGAACCCCTGAATAAGGCCTCGGGAGAAGAAAGGTTTTGGCGCACATGCGGCCAAAGAGAAGGCGGTGCATGTGGGGCGGCAAAGCGGGAAGTGAGTTCAGAAGAGTGCAGTCCATGTAAACAGCTACATAAGCGCGAAAAAGCTCCTATTAGCGTCCTTGCTCCTAGTAGTAAGGCCAGGAGCCCCTAGTAGCTTCTTATGTAAACAGATAGATAAGTTGTATGATATAGTTTCACTGCTCCAGTCTTCTCATGCAAGTGTCCCTCCAGAAACGGGTCACGCATGACAGATCCCTAGCTCAACCGTGTCCACATGCTTCGAATCTTGAGACCTCACGAGGGCTCGCTGTCATGGTCCTCCATGAAGTGATTGGTGGGAGGGATAGACGATTTGAGGGGTGGAGGTTTATCCTTGGGCACACTGGAATTTCCCATCCGGATAGTCTTGAAGGGTTCCTCAAACGTGTTTTCTCTCTCTCTCTCTCCCCCATGGCCCAAAGAAAGAAGAGCAGCACAGCCAGGGTGGCCTCAAAAACGAGCTGTTTGACAGTGCTGGCCGACATGAGACCAGATTGAGATCATCTCTTCTGTCCAAAGCCCGCGATCCCTCAGCTTCATTTCCCCTGCGAAGGTCGTTCAAGAACCTCTTACGCCTTGTGTGTTTTGGCCAACCTTTCGTTCACATGCGTTGCTTTTGTTTAAGCTACCCATGTTCAAGGTGCTATGAGCCCTATGAGCCTATGAGCCTTCCTTCGCATGTGTTTTTGATCCAAGGAACCATCATCTCTCCCAGACTCCCCACACTCCGATCTTCCGCCGCGCCGTTCCGAAGAACGGCGTTCTTCCTCGCCCAGGAGGGCCTCGCCGCCAAGCTCGCGGCGCAGCTCGAGTCGTGCCACCTGGAGCGGGAAGAACCGGGCGACACCCGCCGCCGTGGCGGCCTTTTTGCGATGGCCGTGAATGGCCAAGAGTAGTTCGTTGTGGGGTAGAAAGGAAGGTGTCCGTCTTTCAAACAGATGGACGTCAATGAGATCGGTGCTTTTTGTTGTTTTGTGGTTAAATATCTTGCTTTATCGTGTCGGGATTTTCACGGTGTTCCCTGTTGCTTGTTGCCGCACTTGACGCGAAGATGTCGGTTCGGCCATTTAGGGTACGGCAGCCACTTCACCGTCTCGACCTCCACGGTCAGGACTGGAGCGATGCCATGTTGATCATGGCGTCCAAGAGCTCCTGGGAATGCTTTGACGAGCACCAGGCACCACGATGCACCACGGTGCACCATGCCAAGTTCACCGCCGTTCTGTCGCGGTCAATTCCTGGGAAAAACCAAGGTCCATGGACTGGTTGAGGCCCAAAAACGAGGAGAAGATGGGGCAGTGCATCTCAAAAGTGTTTGAGATCTTGTGAGCAGTTTTGATCCGGGTACGGTTCCTTGGTCGGGGCTCATGTTGAATCTGCTCTCCCTTCAGATGAATACCAGCATCTCTTGTGCAGCTTGTTCTTTTTTTAGGCCAAAGTGAACGTTGAGTACCCAACCGCTCTAGTTGACAAATACTCTTCAACTCAGAACCCCACTAGCTGCTTAGGATCCAAAACTCCAAAAGTTTTAGCATGTTTTAGCCGACTCCTTTCATCAATGAGCCGGTCACAGCATGGTCTTCACGGTTCGCATTGAGACCCGCGGGACCCGCAGGTGTCGGCGATGGCCAGATCTGTCTCGCCTGGACGCCTAAGGGCAGGATGATCTGTGGTTAGCACAAACCAAGAGCCGCGCGGGCTGGGCAATGGGCTTTCATTTCAGCTAGGTTTTCAAGACTCCAGTTGTCAGTTCTTTTCCGAATGCGTAGCGAAGGGTTCTCATTTAACTCTGGGGGTCTGGGGGTAGAGCCTTGTTCGCGACTCGTTGTCTGAGGGACCGCAACCGTTGTCAACCGTTCGCAACCGTTCGCAGGTGGAGTCCTATGGCGCTGACATTGGGCGAAGCTTTTGGAGAGGGTTTTGGATGGAAGCATGACGTGTCAGATTCGTGTGAAATAGCGAGGAAACGTGTGGAAACGTGAGAGGATGAAGTGAAATCACTGCACAGGCGCAGCGTTTTGTGAGATGGTGAGTTTTCTGCGCAGTCACATTGGGATTGGCGTTTGGAGCGTGGTGTTTTGGGGTGTGGGATGTGGCTGTGACATTGGGATTTGCGTTTCAGGGTGTTGCATCGAAGCTGTGTTTTCGTGACATGTCTCGTTAGCGAGCTGCACTAGAAAAAATGACACGTGGACTATGTCTACTGTGCAGGCACTCGGCTTGGACATATGTAGCTACTCGAACGTGTTTGCATTCGGGTTCGTGGGTTCCATCTTGTTTTTTTGGCCCCCTTCATTTGTTGACTCAGCCGGCGCAAACAAGACAAACGCCAAGACCATGGAAGGATTCTTTAACGAGGCCCCCCTTCAAAGAGCTCCTGCATTGGCTTTTTACTGGCTTTTCGCTTTGCAACTTTGTTCTAGCTTCATCCCTCGGGCTCAGGCTAGACCAGTTTGCTCTCGAACGGGCTCGGAGCGCAGGTCGCCGGACACGTTGGCCCAGAAGCTCCTGGAGGCGCGGTCTTTCCTTTTTTTCTGGTTGTTTTTTGTTGATAATGCTTGGCGTGCTTCTACTTAATTATATAAGTCAGGGAGAGGTAAGCTACTAGGAGAAGTTGGTTTCCAGCTAGGACAGAGGATGGTTCACGCTCCTTCAAGGAGGGCGGAGGGGAGTTTCCGTGAAGAAGCGCTCACACTAATGATTTGGCTCCTGGATTTTTAGGGAAGCATGCACTGTATGGGTCCAGGAAGGAGGGCCGTGGTTTTTTGCTCGATCTTGTTAGATGTGGTTCAGATCCTGTTCCATAATGAAGAGCTGCGCCTTCCAACCCTCAACTGAAGAAAAAGTCATCGGCCCAAAAGTTCTGTGTCCTTAGAAAGAACACCTGGCCAACTTCGTCGTGTTTTCTTAAGCTTTGTTGTAGACATTGGTCCAAATAGGAGCCTTGTAGTCTGTCGTCCAAAGGGGAATTGATGAGACTTGGACGTGTGATCTGTTCTTCTGGGGGGGCACAACAAACGAAGGTGCTCTGAGGAGGTTTGTTTAAAGGTTCCTGTTCTCTCAGGCGGCTCGCCGGAGCCGACGTGGTCGGAACGCAGAGGCGCGGGACGGGTGTAAAACTCTGAGTCAATACTGAGGTTTCTTGAGGAGCTCGCATCGTTTCTTGATGGACAAAAAGCCCTTGCGGCGGTCAAGGTTCAATGCTTCATGTTCAGAAGACTGTGCATTGGTGGACCTTCAAAGTCAAGAAATACCTTTTTGTCATTCTATCAGAGGCTCGAGCTGCTAATGGTCCCCGCTGGCTACATGCTTTGTTTTTCAGAATGGCTGCGTGCTAATGATTTGCAAAGCAAGGTGAAAATCGGTCAATGTCCCACACCTTCCCCCGCTGTTTTTGCAGAAAGACACAACTGCACAGATGGTTGTGTTCTCGTCTAGTGCGCTCACTTTGGAGAGCCTACTAGTTGATCCACCCACGCCCAATCCATGACCCACCCATAATAGAAGCCGTCAGGAGACCTTTGGGCCTTGTGCGAACCTTTGTCCCAACCTTTGTTTGCTGCAGGACTTGGCGATTGCTGTGCTCCGCTTCCCTTGGGCCCGTTGGTCCGCGACCAGAGAGGTAGGTGCCGGGGTGGAGAGGTGCGGACAGACTCGTCTGAGCAGTCATCAGTGGTTCAGCGGCAGTAATCGGCTCACGTTTCTATGTTTGATGTTGTATGTGATCATTTTCTGGGGTTCTGTTGGAGCCGCCATTCTTCTATCTTTGAGTTTGTGGATGAACGTTTTCCCGCATGAAGTCACCCAATCCGTCTCACCTTCAGACATATGGTACTTCCGAATTGTGATGGGTCATCCACCCACAGTTTGGGCCCAAAGTGTACAGTATGTTTCCTCAGACCACTTTGAACAACCTTCTTTTTTTGGGCCATGCAACAATCGCTAGCTGGCTTCAAAGCTCAAAGTTGAAAGTGCTAAGGCTGAAGGGGTCAAACCTGAAACCTGACCCACGTGGCTTTGTACGTCACACGCAGACTAACTAGTTGGAGGGATTTTTGGATTCAAGCATCGCAGTCGGCCACAGGCCAAGAAGGCGAAGAAGCCCAAGACTCGAAAGCGAAAGATCGAGGAGCACCTACGGGAGACGCCTTTTCCCGGGGCCTTTAACCTTAATAGCCATGGCCCTCCAGCCTGGAAGCGATGGCCTACTAGCGATGGCCTTTAACCTACTAGCGATGGCCTCCACCCTAATAGCAATGGCTTCCAACCTGATAGCAAACATCAGGGCGTGCCACAGATTTGTAGGGAAGGCCATGCCGCCACTGTAGTGCCCTACCTACCTTCCAACGGAGTGACAGAGCCAAAAACGATGGACTAGATTCTGCACCGGTTCAGAGCCAAATGCATGCACCAAACCCTGAATGGTGTGGGATAGCCTCCACCGAGAACTCTTCCCAGTTCCTTGTTCACCGGCAGTATTTGCAGACTTCCCCTACATCAGTGATCTACGTTTGAAAGTTCTTGTTTCTGACAGTGTTGTTGAACAAGGAAAGGCCATCAACAAGTTATCAGTGCTCTTGACAATCCTGCAGCCCATTGGAATGCCCATTGGAATGCCCTTTGCTGTAGACCCTCGACCTTCAGGAGGTGGATGACATCTTTGCACCCCAGGCATGAAACAGCGCGTTGCCTGTGTGCATGTGTCCGTGTGTGTGTGTGTGGAGCAGGTGTGTTCTGGATGGACTTGCTTTGAGACCATGGCTGTGAATGGGGTCGGGTTTGAATCAGCTCCTTGCAGAAATGAGATCGGGATGTGTTTGAAAGAGGAAGATTTTGATTCGCAGCCAAGACCCACTCTCCCTCCACCTTACACCAGAGGTTGCTCCATGGGTAAGTTTGCACTATATTTGAGCAGTTTTTTTGGGTGGTTCTGGCTGTTGCTGGATTTGCTGGTCGGGCACTGCTTGAAAGTTATGTTGAATATTCACCAGAAATGATAGAAGTTATGGTGCGTTTCCGGATGTTCACCAGGCGGTAGAGAATTTCAGAATGAGAAAGGATGCGTTTTTGAGCACAGTGGAATTTACCCTGTTGTCCGAAGTCAAAGCAAGGGATCCTCGGTGGCCAATCCTCCAAGTTGGGTTTAGGGATGAGCTTCGGAAGATTCCGCAAGATTCCGCGTTTGGTGCAAAAAAGATATCCTTTTGGGTGAGGATCACTTGACGGATGTGTTTGGGGAATCACCTGGAGCGTCAGCCGAGAGCCAAGCACACTTCATCCCAAATCACAGGAAGCTGCCGAGCTGAGCCAGGCTCGGGACATGAGCTGCGGAGATTGGAAAGACCCTTTCGGATAAAGACGTCCAAAAAAGGGAACCAATTCGGAGCTCTCAAAAATTTGAATGCTTTGTTCGAAAAAATTGCCATGTGGGAGAGGTGGAAGCTTTAGTTGGAGAAGTAAAACAGGAAGTATTAGGGGTTGCAGCCACCTTTATCTCACTTCAATACCCACGTGAGCATCTTCTCCAGAACTCGCAAGCGCCAAGCGAACTGTTGCTTGAGACAAACAGCCTTTGCGTGGCTGGTCTGACTCCAGTAAACAAAGCTTGCGAATCCTCCAAGTTTTTGGACCAGCCAAGAAGGAAAACTTAGACTGGTTGGAGCATGTTGGTGTGAGCTGCTTTTGATAGGGGGTTTTGCTGCGGTTCTCGTACCATGACCCTTGTTCAGTTCCATATGCCATCCTCATCCTCCCGGGCCTGGAAAGCGGTCCCCGCAGGAGGAGAGCGACGAGATCTCCAGCGATGAGGCGCCGGAGAACGCAGAGGACCACAAAGCTCCGCAGAGGGACTGGCGTATGTGTGGTATACATATTACAATCTTGTGAAAACCTGGTTGCATCGGCTTTCCAAAGCTGGTTGCATCACTGATCAAGTGGAAGGGGTTACCGGTGATAGCACTGCCTGACCATCACAAAATGAGACGAACTCTAGCCTCGAAGGTTGTGTCGAACACCCAAGTCCAAAGTCAAATTTGGGGGAGGTTCCACCAATCTGTTACACTCTGACTCACTAACATGGAAGTGGAAAATGCTCCTTTGGAAGACTACCTTCCTTTACTAACGGGGGGTTTTTCCCCTTCCACGTTAGTGAGTCGGAGTGTATGTGCGTGGGTTTAGCATGACCATCATCAACGGCACCAGTTCATCACACATAGCTGTCGAGGTCCTCCGCCAGGTCTTCCATGATCCCCAGACCACAGACTGTTCATGCTCAATGTTTGAACGCGCTTCATATCTATCCAACACAGGAGCCCCAAGTGGAGGTCCAAGCGGAGCCCCAAGCGGAGCAAGCAGAAGAGCCAGAGGAGATCCTTACAGGTGGCATCTTGGCTCGGAACACCCGGCGTGAACCAAGTGACAAATGGGTTCCTAGTAGCGATGCCCTTTGCTCCTAGTAGTAAGGCCAGGAGCCCCTAGTAACGTTACGTGATTAGGATATTGGCAATGCCCAGCAGGTGTTTGACAATTCGACAACCTCACCGACTGCTGAGACATTCATTTGCTTTGCTTCTTGAAGGTGGGGTCCAAAATTGACAGGGCAAGCAAGTCTTTTTGCTACGTAGACGAATGGTAGATCAGGGGAGGACCCCCGTTGGCTCTCCAGGCAAGTCCGACCAACTCCGCAACCTTTTGTATTGTCCGGAAGTGTAGTTTCCATCTTGGACCATGGAAGGATAAATTCCTCTGGTTTTGCCCAAGCACCGCACAAAAAAGCCCTCTCCACCTTCCTGCCTTCGAGTCCTTTGTTTGGTTGTCCGAAAAATTGACCAGCCCGGTCGACCCGCTCCGAGGCAAAGAAGCACCTGTCGAGGCACCTGTCGAAGCGTGCAACCGAGATCGGTTGCACAAGAGATGGTACAGATCGGCTGACCTTGGTTCTGGGTTGATCCCAGTGGAGATTTGTAGTGTAATCCGAGGGTATTCTGAATTGTTTCCAGTTTTTTGAAGGCACATACATGATGCAGGGTTGACAAAATGAGGGCTCATTCTCCTTTTTAACCTTGTTTTTACCTTCAACCTAATCTTATTTGCTCCAAATGCTGGAGCGCAAAGACAGCAGTTCACACCAAATTCGAAGGAGCGAGAGCAAGCAGTGAACAGGGGTGTGCTTGGCCACTTCAAAACCCTCAAAGTGCTAGTCCTGCTCTCTAAAGTGGTGGATGTGTTTTTGGCTTTGCCTGTTGGGGGAGTCATTTTCACCAGCTTTTGCACTTTCTGAGAGGCGCCTTTCGAGAAGGAGGATTGCAGTCAAGAGGCGCCAGTCCTGTTCAGACTGCCGTTGTGCCCAAGCCAGGTTTGAGGAGGGCAAACCGCGTTCAATAGTTCAAGTCGGACAGATATGGGGCAGGGCGATCCTGCTGCAACCAGATCTGGCTTGGCTTCTGCCGTGCAACAAAGGATGGGTGGTAGCTTCTGATTTGCGCACGCGGAATGGAGGGAATCTCTCTCCGCAGCTGCTTTGCTCGCAGGTCTTTTCTTGTAACAATGCAATGGCTGATTCTCATTACAAGGGGATGTTTCAGACTTTTGGCTAAGAAGAGTTCCGGCTAAAGACAGGCGCAAGTAGCACAGTCACAGAGCTGATTGGCAAGAGCGTCACAACCATTTTACTTAACATTCCGTTCCAAAAGCCGCCATACAGTCATGACAACAAAGTTTGCTATGACAAGGACCAATGTTCCAAGGAAGAGATCAGAAAAGGAAATTGTTGTCGAAAGAAGAGAAGAAAGAACTAAAAATGATTTTCAAAATTAAGAAAGAAAGAAAAGACAGGAGAAAAGAGTCTAAAGACTTTTCACGACCTGCGAACGCCATGCCGAAGCGCAGCGCTGAGGGCTCGGTAAAGGCCGCCAGCCAGGCGCGGCGAGCAAATTGTTTGAGGAAGATCTTGCTGCAACAAGAAAAAGCGACTCGAGCTTAGTCGTAAGGAGATGAATAGTGGAGATTAATATAAAGCCGATTCGCCCAGCATTGGATCCTCAAAAAGACCTTGACTCATCGGGGTTTTATAAGTCGTTGGTGCTTTTGTTATGTTTTGTTTAGAGGATTTGCGACATAGAGCCCACTAGCTTACACTTTGCTGTGAGGTCGTAAGTTCTACAAACTGGCCACAGAGCTGGACATTGAAACGTTTGCTTAGGGGCTTAGGGGTAGCGAAGTCCACAACCAATTGTAATAATGTTTCTCGTTGTCTTTGTTCATCCAATGGCACACGAAGCACTTTGGCGGTCCTTGCGGCAGGGGGACAAGTTGCTGGCGGTGCTGGAAGGAGAGGGATGCAGCAATTCCAAGTTTGCATAGTTGATGGACACTCTCTCAAAGTTGTGAACTGGGAGGGTTTGGACTGCCAAACCTCAAGCAAACCAATGAAGTGGGACCAAAAACGCATCATGGCCGGCTGGATCTCTAAAAGTCGCCTCATGATGTTTCATGGGCGCATGATAGGCAAGATGAACCTATCTATTCATTCTGTCATAACTTATTCATTCTACATGACAACGTTGTTTTGCAAACAATCGTGTACAACAGGTTTCAGAGATTGAATGCGTACTCAAATAGAAGCTAACAAGATGTACTGGGGTTGCCTTTGTTGTTAGGTATTTGGAACGGTATTTGGCAGAAGATTCTTTATACAAACTGCAAGCAAGTGTGCCAGAACAAGATTCTTGCGCACATGAGACACTTTCGTGATGCCTTGTTCGTCACCGGGGCCTCAGCCGCTGTCCACAGGATTTAGCTTGGATGCCACGCCACAGCCTTGAAAACGATGCTAGGATGAGGTGGAAAACACAGGTGGCCCCCATCGCAAGCCCCATGATAGCTTTCTTTTTTTATATGTCTTCTTAAGTCATCACCTGCGAGTCTCTTGGCATTTCCTTTTGGGGGATCTTCCAAATTTGCTGTATGTCGCAAAACTGTGATAGATGTAATTTCATGGACTTATCAACTATTTACCGTGTGCATCGTGTCCTTGTCTCATCATGCACGGGACAAAAAAAAAGGATGATGTTGAGTCCACTTGCTTCGCTGAGCTGAGGCCCAAAGAGCAGGATCAGGCTGTCGGTGCTGGACAAAGACTTGGTAGCGACGTGTTCCGGCTATTGGTCAAATGGGTAAGGACGGTTTTTCTGCATGGGGTACCTGAAGATGTGGGCCAACAAGCCCTTTGAGGCCAAAGCCAAGGCGAAGCCGAAAGCAAAGCCCAAAGGAAAGCCAAGGGAAGATGTCAAGGCCAAAAGGAGCATGACCATGCTTGTTCTGAAGAAAGTGGACGCTTTTTCTGAGGGAAGAAAGGGTGATAGGATGGTTGTAGTTCCATAGAAAAGGTGGCTTGATACATGAGGCCGGACTAATTTTCCAACATATTGTATTGGACCTTTTACGGAATTTGAAATCTTTGGCGTGGTTTTTGCTCACAAAATGACCTGGAGGCCAAAGCCAAGGCAAAGTCGCAGAAGCCGCAGCAAGATGCAAAGGCCAGCGGTGCGGCAACTGTTTCGGGTGGAGACGCACGGAGCCTCTTTGCATAAAGGCCAAAGCAAAGCCTGAAAAGCTGGAGGTGGGTGACTCCTGCTCTGAAAAGAAAAGAATCGAATCATCTTTCTTTCACCCCGGAGAACCGTGCTTTCTGCTTGTGTTTCTCTCTGGGTGCAACCACCGCTTCTCTCTTCACCCTCTCGAGGCAAAAAGCAAGAAACCCGAGCCTGTCCAGCCGGAGGCGTGCGTTCACTTGTCTTTTTTGGCCTGGATTTCTTCACAAACACAAAGACCTTTTCTTTGTTTCGTGAGTTGGGTCCATTGACTGCAAAGTCATTCTCATGGAGACATAGGGCGAATGTATTTTTGGCGTCAGGCAAAGCCGGAAGACAGGCCGGTGTTTTCAACAGAAGCTCAAAGCATCGCAGAGATTTAGTGGCTTAAGTATTCGGCGGTATGGTTCAAGGTCAATGTTGTGCGATCCGGGTCTGCTTCTCATGGCCAGACTTGGCAAATTCCACCGATGTTCACTTTCGCAGCTGTTGACATTCTTTTTGCCTCTCTTGCACTTGTCATGAACTTGCTTACTGCAGGAAAGTTCTGCAACTCCCACTCATAAATGTCGTTCAAAATGAGATGCAAAGCTCTGTGTGGCTGACATCGTTTTTGGAACGGGTCCAACCATGAAAGATTTGGTTGCGGGAGCCATCCGGCGTCCCTGCAGAGGCGCGCTTCTCCAACTACTGCAGCTGTTGCACCTTGTCCTCCCTTCAATTGGGAGAAAATCCTTCACCTTATCTTAAACTAAAGGAAGTCTGGAACTTCCCCACATTGGTGCAACAAAAGGTACATGAATTGGTTGGATATGGAGGATTTTCCCACGACAAACCTACCTTTGGTCACAATCATTTTAGAGATCGATCGCTGAGGCCAACAGTGACGACTTGAAAGCTCAGTTTCACGCTGCTTTGGGGAAGCTGGATGCGTTGGCCTGTGTGAATCGAGAACGAGTCATTCCAGAGCTCTAGCGGCGGAAAATGGAGTCCAAGATGGCAACGTCGGTTGGTAGTGAGGGTGTGATTGCTAAGAAAGTTTGATCCATCAAGGAAATTCAGTTGGCGAAGCTCACGTGGGAACATCCGATTTCAAACAAGATCCGGGATGAATTCCCAAGTTTTGCGATGGCAGGCGATGGAACGTCAAAAGCTGGAGCCTTGGAAGTGAGAGGGAAGTCCCAAAGGGCTTGCTGAATGGCTGTTATTTTGCTGAGGTTGGAGGACATATTTTCAGAATTCTGTGATGAAATCAATTTAATTCAAAAAAGATGTATAATATGTTCATAAATAATTTATATTTAATATAAATATATATTAAAATCTTAATTAAATGTATTTTTGTAAAAATGTGATTTTATTTTTTGTATAATTGATATGTTTTTTTCTTTAAATAATTTATTATTATGGTTATGTAATATTTTTATGTATTGGTTTTGAGATTTATTATTATTATGTTTTTTTGGATTATATAATATTCTTTTTATTTATTATTTAGGTTTAATATTTTTGGTATTTATTTTTTCTTTTCGTATTTTATTATATTTATAATTATATTGATTTAGATTTATTATTATTTTAGGCAGACAAAAGATTACGCTTGTTAATCTTCTTATAAAACACTCTGAGGTTAGCGGCGGATCGAATTAACAAGTCTAATTTTCGTGGTAGGTGTGGGACGGTTAATTATCACACCGTTTTAAATTTATAATAATAAAAGGTTTTCCGGGGTGACAAATGATCGCCTATACTTTCCTTTGTTTCATGGTGTAGGATTCTAGGGGGATAGGGTTGTTATGAGTTTTAACATTAAGAAGCGCAACTTTCTTCTGCCTAGTGCGTTAAAAAAAGGGGTGTTGCATTGATAGGTAACTGATTGGTCGTTTTTTAAGTGAAATGTCAATTTATAAAGTACTCTGTTTTTTTTACAGTTATATATTTGTTAAACATATTTATATACGTATAAATATAAATAGACCAGAAATTGAACGGATGCACGTTTTGTACATTTTTGCTCTTCGCTGCCCTGCGTTAAAAAAGGGGTGTTGCATTAACAGGTAATTGATTGGTCGTTTTTAAAGTGAAATGTTAATCTATAAAGTACTCTGTCCTCTTTATAGCTATATATTTGCCAAACATATTTATATACGTATAAATATAAATAGACTAGAGGTTGAACGGATGCACGTTTTGTACATTTTTGCTTTTCGCTGCCCTTTAGGCAGACAAAAGTTTACGTTTGTTAGCCTTCTTATAAAACACTCTGAGGTTAGCGGCGGATCGAATTAACAAGTCTAATTTTCGTGGCAGGTATGGGACGGTCAATTATTACACCGTTTTAAATTTATAATAATAAAAGCCTTTCCGGGGTGATAAATGACCGCCCATACCTTCCCTTGTCTCATGGTGTAGGATTCTAGGGGGATAGGGTTGTCATGAGTTTCAACATTAAGAAGCGCAATTTTCTTCTGGCTAGTGTATTGATGATTTTTTTTTTATTATATAATTTTTTATTTATTTTTTAGATTTATTATTATTGGTATTTATTCTTTTCTTAATTATAAAGTATTTATAGTTTTTATTTATTATAAAGCATTTTAACGTTATTTTTAAAAAACCGCTATTTTTAATTTAAGTATTCGCGGCCGCATCCGGGGGCTTTTTGTTATATTGCTGCATTATTTTTATAGATGCCTATAGAATTGGATTTCCCGGTCTTAAATCCGGGAAACTTGAATCCCTATGTATTATCTTTTGTCCCACAAGGATTCGAATTTGGCGTGAGGATTATTAACCTTTCTTTACGGATTGGTGAAAGTGTATTGCGCGTCTATAACGGGCGATGTTTGGCTACGGCCATTTGGTGCATTAGTCTCGAATTCGGCGCATAAAACGATCTTTCCGCCGGGCCTGCAAAAGAGCGCTAATAGCTGGACAAACTAGCTACCATGGCAAATGCTTCATGGAGTCCCTTTCGATTACGAGGTCCATTGAAGACAGAAATATAGAGGTTAACACTGCAACCTCCGTTTCGACCGGCACAACAATCAGGCGTTGTTTTGAAGATCCTTTCCTGGAATATTACGAGAAGCTTGAGTTACCATGAATGGTTAGTCTGGGCCACGGGCCGACCAGAAGATGTACTCTTGATTCAAGAATCCAACTGGAAGTTCAATGGTCAATGGGAAACTGAGCATTGGTATTGCATCCACTCATAAGAGGCTATTGCAAGCCAATTAATCATGGACCGCAAAATATTGATCCGTGCTTCCATGTTGGCGTATGCAGTTTTGATTCCAGGAAGATTGTTGCATCTCCGCCTGATGCTTGATCGAGTCCATGATGTATCCACCATATACAAGACGGCCTGGAATACGACCAAGCCAATCCGAGCACTCTTGCAAGATAGGCAGGACCTGTGGGGGAAACTCCGTCAGTGCATTCAACATACTCCTCAAAGCCACATGATGGTAGTTATTGGTGATTTTAATTGTCCGTTGCAACAAGACACTTAGTTTATTGGCAGCCATGATCCGCGTTTTGATCAGGCACTCCAATCTGATAAACAGGATTTTCAACTCATGATCCGTGAATTGTCTTTGGTTGCTATTCATTGCAAGCAGAAATATGTTTCCACCTTCTTGCATGGTAGCCATCAGACTCGAATTGACTTTGTTTTCATGAGATCCAATCAGCTTCGGTGGAAACACTTAACTGCTTCTGTTGACTGCCGGTTTGAGCGCATTGGTTTGCATCAGGGTCCACAACATAGACCGTTGCTGCTTGGTATTCCACGTTGGCATCCGGTGAGACCTGCTCCTTCGAAATTCCCATCCATCGATCGTTTTCGACTACGACAGGAGATGATCTCAGACACCACAACATGGAGAAAGTTCGTAATGGAAGCTCAGAGTTGTATCCTCAGATATCAGAAACCCTGCCAGACCAATCCGATTGATAACTGCTACTCCATGGAACATGAACTTCGAGAATTGTGTCTTAAGAATTTTCCTCGTCAGAAAAAACAATATGATTCTGACATGACTGTGAAATCCCTCACCGCCCGCATGTGGCATGCACGTAGACAGGCTAAACAGGTGTTGTAGGTATCGCAACATCCGAAAATTCTGTCCAAAGCAACCTTTTCGTAAGATACAGTTGCATGATAAGTTTGGAGCCCCTCTTCTTCCGCATCAAGAACTTGCAGCCCTTATAGATCACTTTGGCACCATGTTTCATGATGAAAATTTTGAGTTTGCACCTGTTCCATTGAACACCATTCCTTTCACTCAGGACCAGGTCGCTTTGGGATTCTCCAAACTTCCGGTCACGAAGGCACTGGCTCCGGATGGGATGCCAGGTTTGGTATGGAGGTTCTTTGCACATGACATTGCAGAAGTAGTTTATCCTGCCATTCAATGTGCTTGGACCCAGACGGGTATTCCTCCCACCCGCTGGACCACAGGGTGGTTACACCTTCTTAGTAAACCCAATAAGCCTCCCAATCATTCAGCTGCGGTCAGACCAATCTGCATTCAGCACCCAATCAGTAAGGTACTCACTGGAATTCATTGTGCACAAGTATTAGACCATGCCCTTCCTTCACTTTGCAAGGTTCCATTGTTTGCCCACCTGCCGCACACAGGATTGTCTTCTGCTGACCTCTGAACATTGCAGACAGGTCAAGGCTCTGTGCCAGCACCACAAGCGTGATCCTCTCAAGACTGGTTTGTGGGACGGCCTCCAGGTCTCCGTAGATCTTGAAAAGGCAAGGTATTTGACGCTATTGACAGAAATTTAGTTCTTCGTATCATCCAAAGATTCGAGATGAACCCTGACCTTCAACTCCTTATTCAGTCGTGGCAGCATAAACATGAGTACGGCATACCCCATAAAGACTTACTTGGACGCTTCACTGCAAGCCGGGGTATAAAGCAGGGATCCAAAGATACCCCTTTGTTCTGGACCTTGAGTTTGTACCTGATAAATTTCGATCTGCAATGGATCATTTCGCATATCATAATCTATGCGGACGACATCCACTTTAGGTGACTCATTGATAGTCCTGCCTCTGGCCTATTGGCCTTGCATGAACTAATTGTGGTGTTGGGTACACTCAAGGCATTCCATTTCCGGGTCAATCTGACCAAAAGTGTTGCCATTATGCGCCTTGTGGGAAAGATCGCTCAGGCGTTTTTGAAACGATGGACGTCGAGAATAAAAGAAGGACCTCGATTGCACCTGCCAGATCAGTCCTTTAGCCTTCCTCTTGTTAGCAAGACTGACTACTTAGGAGTGACACTAAGCTATCGTGCTTTCGATCATAACACCGTACTTCGAAAAGTCAAAGCTGCCAATGTTTGCTTCCGCATCTTAAGGAAATGGCTCCTGGATCGGCATCATCATTTGACAATTCGTCTTCGATTGTACAACCAATCTGTTCTACCCACTGTTTCCTATGGCATTCATGAAATGGGGATTTCGATACGTAGCTTTCAGATGCTTAATGGCTTAATCACCAAATATCATAGGACCATGGCCAGATCCCCTATGTACCTAATCCGTGAAACCAACACAGAGTTCCATGTACGTATGCACATTGAACCTCCATGGTGTTATTTTGTTCGACAGCAAGCTCGTCTGACCGACTCTCTGTGTCGACGGCGAAGCCCTGATCCTTGAAGCCATGCAGACCGGTCAGCATGATATCTGTGCTTTGACCCCAGAGAACCCTGATAATCAATTGCATCATGTACCCATGGCTCCCGCATTGATTTCTCAGGCACCTGAACTCAAATGTCCGGAGTGTGATCGAGCTTTTCATCAGGCAGGATGCTGGAAGCGACATATGCGCACCGTACATCAGATTCCTTGCCATATTGAAGATTTGTTTGATCCTTGGCGTGATTCGTTGGATGATAAGCTTACCTGTAGACACTGTCATAAGCAACTAGCTGATGTATTATCGACTTCGA